TGGTAGTTGTGGTAAGGATGAATTGCAATCAATTTCTCTATTTTATGCAGCAGGCAGCAAACAAACGGTAGATCATTGTAAACAAATATTCTATAATGAAATACAGATAAAAAAATCAGCCTTAATGAATTTTATACAGGAATCCACGAATATTTCAATTAATTATTATTCCTTATTTAGGATTATTTTTCATGACCTTTAATACAGCGATTTGCCGAATTGAACAGATAAGAAACCGTCTATTAAACACACTAACGTTCTCCATTACACACTCTGCCATACAGGGCTGAATGGACATACACAGTGGTTAGTGGTAGTTGGTCTTCCCGTTAATTTTATTAGTTTGGTTTTCATAGGAGTTCTTTTTCTTTCCATGTTTTAATTTATAAATCTTTACCTGATGAACTTAGTGATAATTTCCAGATAATACCTCGCTATATCCCCATACACTCCTCTCACACACTTTCCCAGTTTCATTCCTAAAGTGTATGTGTGTACCAATCTCCATATACCTTATGTTCTCTCTCACCCCCAAAGCGGCTTTAACCAACCCTCTCTCCTCGTCATGACCAGCTGTGCCGCACCCACAACCTGTAATTATCCGATAAGGTAAACTTTGATCTGATTTACGAATTGAGGCAGTTGATTTTTGCCCTTAAACATTATCAGATTATATATTTTTTTATAAGAAACAGTAGTCACGTTATTCATGCTTAGCCAGAAGGGTATATATTTCTGTCCATGTAACGGCGTCTATCCTCTGACTGGTTAAGAAAATTTGGTAGTAATATAGAAAAAGACCTCTCGACGGAATTGCTACAATCGATCTGCCATTATTTTCAGTTCCTAAGGCGTCAGGCGAAAGTTGCCACGATAACACAGAGTTTTATATTCAACATATTTCAACTGCTCTTATCTGTATACACCTATAGCTACACACCAAGGAATACTCACATAGTTGTACACAAACATATAAACACCGTACTTTTGTTACTGTTATGTCTTATATACTATATAATATCTGCTGAACAGACAGAACACAAAAGTAAATAGAATAAATAATAGTAAATGAAGGTTAGGAAATGAAAATTTTCAGTAACACTGAACATTAATTTTATTCGTAAGTGAAATTTTACAATAAGCGAAAATTTAAATTTAGTGGGTAGAACTGATGACATGACCGTGGCCCCCACCTCTGATAATAAATTATGTATAACACCTCGGCCTCCAGGCACCATTAAATATATCTGAGGTTTTATGGGAAAAAGGCCACCTATTATATATATATCGAGATAGTATTGTTATATACATTTAAGCAGGTATTCCAGAATTGGTGATCGTTGTCAAATATCAGAGTGTGTGACAAGGACGTCAACAGCTATGGAGCGGAGAATTTAATTAAACTGATGACATAAAAAGATGATTAGAAGCTTTTCCCTTTTGTTAATAAGTTCATTGATGGTAATGATCATTTAACCAGTGATATAAAGAGTTAGCGTATTATGTTATATATATATATATATATATATATATATATATATATATATATATATATATATATATATATATATATATATATATATATATATATATATAAAATAGGACGTATTATGAGCTTCAAACAATTCCTTCACCTACATAATAAAGTTACTACATTTAGAGACTTCATATATTCTTCCTGTAGCTTCATTGTAACTGTATAGCCGTATCTCTGACGTCATGATTCCATCCGCTGCACGTTTCCACTTTCCATCATGTCAAGTGAAGTTGGAATCCAATATCCACTTTGTAGTATTTTTCTATCCTTGTCAAGTGGTTTGATCTCAGGTTTTCCTTATATTTATTTTATAATATAAGCCGTCCTTTATCCTTAATAGTTTAACTAAACCAATTATAGGCTGGGCTGCAGTTTGAGACTTTCGGTGTGTGTGTGTGTGGTTGAATATATCTCAATGGATGACTCACTTTTGATCAAACTTAAACCAAAGCTGGTATACTGACCAGGGATATCTCATTGGTGATTCACTCGCTCTAGTCCAGAATTTGCAGACATAACCATTATCTCTAAACCGATTATAATAGCGAATGTTCACTGTATCTTGTCCCTTGAATGACTCAATCACCCGGCGATTGTTGTGACGGTAATTGGTTGCTAAAGCTTTGAAACTTCTCACTGAACCTGAATTTTCAAGTTTCAACAATATTATCATAAGGTAACATTTAAAATCCACCTTGCGTTTTGAAGTATTTTACCATAAGTGAAAAAGACTCGTGATGGCTGTGTTGTCGAGGAGAGCATTAACATAATAAACTAAATAATATTGTCCTGTAAATTAACACTAAATCCATTTTTGTTGTTCTCTCCCCAACAGTTGAGCCAGCCAGTGTGGTCATCGCGGGGTGGAGAACTAGAGGCAGGGGCACGTCATGAGGTGAGTGTGTCTCTACTGGGTCAAGACCTCCCCTAACCCCATTAGGGACCTCGAGAACCTGATTGGTCCCAATTCAGGTCACCGAGGTCAGTAGCTGATTAGTCAGTTATCTTTCTTGACTGACTCCGTATACCACTAAATATACCTCCCACACCCCACTACACCAGTACACTCCCTTCACCTCCACTATACCAGTACCTCCCTCACCCTCACTATACCAGTACCTCCTTCACCTCCACCCCACCAGTACCTCCCCCACACCCACTATACCAGTACCTCCCTCACCCCCACTATACCAGTACCTCCTCACCCCCACTATACCATTACCTCCCTCACCTCCACTATACCAGTACCCTCCCTCACCCCCAATATGTAGTACCTCCCCTCACCCCCACTATACCAGTACCTCCCTCACCCCCTATACCAGTACCTCCCTCACCCCCACTATACCAGTACCTCCCCTCACACCACTATGTTAGTCTCCACATCACCCCACTATACCAGTACCTCCCTCACCCCCCTATACCAGTACCTCCCCTCCACTATACCAGTGCCCTCACCCCCACTATACCAGTGCCCTCACCCCCCACTATGCCATACCCCTCACACCACTATGTTAGTACCTCCCATCACACCCTACCAGTACCTCCCTCACACCCACTATACCAGTACCTCCCTCACCCCCAGTATACCAGCACCTCCCTCACACCCACTATACCAGTGCCTCCCTCACCCCCACTATACCAGTACCTCCCTCACCCCCCTCCAGGCCTCCCTCCACACCTATGTTAGTA